AATCTGGTGCTACGCGCTTCACTACGGCCGGACAAAGTGTCGACGATCCCTAATGCAGTGGATGCGACCAAGTTCACACCCCCAGTCACTGCACCACGCAAGCCAGACGACCCTATTACGGTCGTTATCATCTCCAGATTGGTGTATCGGAAGGGGATTGATCTCGTGGCTCGGGCGATCCCGCTCGTGTGTGCACAGGACTCGAGAGTGAGATTCCTAATTGGAGGTGATGGCGCCAAGAGGCTGTTGCTTGAAGAGATGAGAGAGAAGTACAGACTACACGACCGGGTGACGCTGTATGGAGCAGTGCCCCACGCTCAAGTGCGAGATGTTCTGTGTCAGGGCCATATCTTCCTTAACAGTTCACTTACTGAAAGTTTCTGTATCGCCATTCTAGAAGCCGCAGCGTGTGGGCTCTTCGTTGTAAGCACTAAAGTCGGAGGAGTTCCAGAAGTACTGCCACCCGATATGGTGCAGTTTGCAGCGGAAATCACGCCAGAGGCGTTGGCTGAAGCGGTTTTGGCTGCTGTACCGCGACTTGCAGGCGTCGATCGACAGGAATTTCATGAAAGAGTAGCGCAGATGTACAACTGGGATGCTGTCGCGGTGAGAACGGAGAAAGTGTACGAGAAGGTGTGCGCACTTCCAGACAGCTCGCTACTCCATCGTCTACAGCTGTACCACGGAATCGGTCCAGTGGCAGGGATGTTGGCCTGTGTCATCGCTGCGGTTTTACACTTGTACGTGGTGTTTCTCGAGTGGTGGCAACCTGCTCATGAGATTGAACTCGCGCTAGACTGGACCCCCGTATCTCAGCAATGTGATGGAGATAAACGGAAGACTGAATAAGGCTGAAAATGCCCACTGTGACTACAACTAGGCCCCAAAAAAACTACGAACCACGTTAATAGCAGGTATTACGGAGAATTGGAGCCATTGCGCTGGTGGTGATCATCATGATCTCTTGATTTGCCCCCAGGAACAACCCGGAAGTGCTCGGGTTTCTATGCATGCATCTAAGTCGAGGTGCTGAGCAATGGAATGGAGGTTCTGCACTGACTTAGTGTACCAGCAGCTTTTGTGAGGCTTGGAGTACAGGTACATCCGAACGAATCGAATCCCGCGCCAGGCTCATAAATTCAGGAGAATCATCGCCATAGTGAACGCACCGCATGTGTTTGCATGACGAAATTTCCCCGGTTTCCGTCAGGCTACTTCAGCAATGGATCCCGAAAGCTGCCCTCCCAAACTGCACGAGCGTTCTCCGCCCAAAAATGATTGTTTGGCTCCAGGAAACCGTCGGGGTTGAAGTCGCGCTTCCATGGTCGTGCTACTCGACGCGATCATGATTCAGACACAGCGATCTTTAACCGGTGGTAGCATTGAGACCACCAGTTTTAACTCTTCCAGAGTTGCAATTTCCAGAGTCATCCTCAGTGGAGTCTTCCTCAATGGAGTCTTCAACCGTCCTCTTTGCAGACCGCAGTGCATTGACTGGTAAGTAGTGGTTGGACGTCCACGGGGATGATACACGACGGACGATCTTACGGGACAGAGTATCGCCTCCAGTACAGAACCCTACTACTAGTAGTAGGCCATATCTGGCGGCGACTCGTACTGACAAGTAGGAATACACAGGAGCTCCAACTCATCTGCTGCTGTCAGCAACCGAGCCGCGTCCTGTTAATGAGTTGGCCTTTATGGGGATGATAGTCACGATGCTCGCCACTAGGGGGATAGAATCCTGGAGCTTGCGCTCGTTGGTACACTCAACATGCGCGAAACCGTTCGACATGCAACTGTCTTACTACGCAGTACATGTAAAGCAACAGCAAGCAACAGACACTAGCAATCAGTTGTCTATTACTTGGGGCGATCAATTGTCGATACCCGCATCCAAAAAATGATATATATATATATATATATATACACTGCCAACGTTGTCACTAACGCAAGAAAATACGTCCTAGCTCAAACCTAGCCTGTAACAACTTAGCATGCGGCGGCGGTCTGCGTCACCGAAGTCTGAGTCACGGACTCCGTCGAGTTCGTCGTGGTGGCGGCCGGAGTGGCAGCGGGAGTGGCAACGGGAGCATCGGTAGCCGTCGGCGTCGTCGTCGTCGTCGTCGT